GGGATTAAGAGTCATTTTCAAAAGTTCAATGCATGCTGTATTTGCACTAGCATTATCAAAACTAATGCTAAATAATTTGCTTAATACATTAAATTCATTAAAAACCTGTAATAAATTCTCACACAAATTTATTCAATTATGTGGATATTTAAGTAAGCGAAAAACAATAATTCTTTTGTAAAGTAACCAATTATTATCAATAAAATGTGCAGTGACACATGCATAAACATTGTAATTACGGTCAGACCAACAATCAGATGTAAAATACATAACTCCATCAAAATTGTTAAATTCAGTTTTCAAATGTTCAGTCATTATATGAAATAATTTCAAGATATCTGAGCGAGCAGTATTTCTACTTACAGACCGATAAGCGGGTTGAACATACTTTTGCATAAACTCCTCAAAGTATCGATCTTCTGCGAAAGTGAAAGGCATCTCTTTTGCTGCCAAAAATTCAGACATTCCTATTCTTATTCGATCCTGTGAATAACAAAAATTAGAAAAAGTAATTGTTCCACTAATATTAATAAAAGAAGTAATTTGAGTTTGTTTAGTATCCAAATACCCTATTTCATTCATGTGTTTATCTTTGTGTCTTCGCAATGTACCCGTGCCTTGACCTTTAACTCATACATAACTCTTTCTGCAAATAGTGCATATTGCTCTTTTGTTTGGTTCATCCACTGTAAAGATTTTCCAAATATCATCTTCCAAATTTATTGGAGAACAACTATCATGTAAATTGACATTTTTTGAAGAAAAATCGTGAGAATCCATAAATTTTCAACAAAATTTTTTGAAATAATAAGCCAATAAGATGAAAAGAAAGCACAAAATACTAAATATGAAAAATATTTGCTGAAAATATTAAGAGAGAACAAAAAAATATATATTTCAAATTTTGGAGCTTGTAGTTATAGATTGTAAGAGTTTAGAATTTTTTCACTTCACAATACCACAATTTATACAAAAAAAAAATTTACCGTTATTACAACAATAAATAAATAAAAATCAAAACGGTCAAATGACCGTTCTGATAGCTGCAGGCTACAAGCATACAGCTGCTGCAGGCGCACGAAACGTTTTAAATTTTTTATTTTTTATTATTATTTTTTTTTAACGGGCCAGCGGTTAATAGCTGCAGGCTACAAGCATGCAGCTGCGCCTGCAGCAGCAGGCACTGCTGCAGGTGCACGAAACGTTTTAAATTTTTTATTTTTTATTATTTTTTTTAACGGGCTAGCGGTTAACCGTTGGCCCGTCTCACCTTGAATCGGCTCGGACCGATTCAAGGTTCGGGTTGCCCACGATTCGGCCCACACAGTTCGTGGGCCGAATCACGGGCCAATTCGCCTACGGGTGGGTCTGGGCAGCCCGTCCATCTTTACATGACTAAACGTTCCCACCTTTCATTGTTATTTTTGAAAACTTCCATAGCTTTCATTTTTTGACATTTTCACCTTTCATCGCCCAAAAGGTTCTTTTCATCCATTTTCTCAATTAAAAGTTATGAAATGACGAATATACCATACTCTTTAAATAAAAAAAAAAGAAAAAGAAAAAAAATAATTGCAACTATAGTCCCAATTTTTTTTAAAAACGCAAACGAGTTTCAAATAAATTACTAAAAGGGTAATTAACATGTAATATCCCTACATTTCACCCTTATTGCAAAAAAGGTCATTACCTTTCATTTTTTTGACATTTTCACCCTTAATTAAACACTTGATTTTGCAAACTATCTTTTCCATCCAATTTTTCAATAAAAAAACTGTGAAATAATGAATATACCCTCACATTTAAATGAAAAATATATTTTTTAATTTCTAATTCTTTAATAATTTATTTGGGACTCGTTTGCACTTTCAATTTTTTTTAAAAAATAATAATAAATTTAATTGAGACTCGTTTGCACTTTTTTTTAAAAAAAAAAAAGAGACTATGGTTGCAATTAATTCTTTAGTTTTTTTTAATTACCAAAGAAGACTTCGAATTTATTGAAATTGGAAAAAATTTCGTTGAGATTTGAATAGATTGTTGAACATATGATGACTTCCTATGCTAATAACTGAAAGAACGCTGCAAGAGTATACTGGTGGATTTGACATCAAATTCAGATGGAGGTGGAGGCGGAGGAGGAAATAATAAATTTAATGAAGGTAGGTGGGTGGGTGGAGGACTTAGTGGATCTGACATCAAATTTCGTCGAGTCTCAACCAAGATGGGGTGTTTGTTGGAAGCGTCTGACGATGGGGTTGCGAAGAAAAGAGATTGGGTGTTGCGCGACTACAACAGCGTAGCGATGGAGGGACGATTAATATGTGACGATCATTATACCGATCGGTTTGGAGGTAGTTTGAATCGACAAAGGCATCGTGTTCCATTTCGCTTTCTGCTTTGCGTATAGGCAGAGAAATGGTTCCACTGTGATTTCATTCCCTCTTCTGCTTTGCAAATAAAGAGAGAAATTGTTTTAGTTTTTAATTCCTGATTTTTTATAATTGAATCTTTTAGGTAATATAGAGAGAGAAATTGTTTTAGTTTCTAACCCTTGATTTTAGGTAATTTTCCCTAAAATTTAAATACTAAATAGAAAGGGTAACGGCACGGTTGGCCCTCTCATCCTGGCACTGTTGAAAATTTTTGGAAGCTGGTCGGGAATAAAACAAATTTTTAAAGTAAAAAATAAAATTCTATCTCAATACCCAATGGAATGGGATCACACGAAACGGGTTAGGGACGAATTAGTTTGTCATCCTTTGTTACGATTTACTTTTTGTTGGGAATTTTGATAGAGTTTTCTCTCTTACAATCCTCCAATCCAGGCAACCTAATTAAGAACTATTCCCAAGCATAGATCATGAAATAATGTTGTATAACACCAATTATTAAATAATGTTGTCTAACGCCGACGACACTGACTTAAGTGATAGATTCAATTAAAGATAACAATATAAAATTTATTTAATTGGCCTATTTTTTTATTCAATTATGCTACTTGTATATCATCTTCCTACACATTGGATGACATTTGAATATGAGGCAAAGTCGAGATTACTAATTGTTTTAAGTGTTTGGAGAAATCAATGATGAAATTGTTTGTTGTATAGTACAATGTAAGGCAAAATGTCAATTAGAATGTATGTGTAGTGATAAGTGTATTTTGCACACTTATTTAGGTCACAAAACGTGAAAATTGTTGATATACATGTTGAAATATGGCTTAATTCGATATAATGTGTATTTGTAGGATTACATTGATGGATGGAATAAAGAGTATGAGAAAATGAACGAAATGGACCAAAATGGAATAATATGAAATTTCGAGGATCAAAATGTAAGTATTCAAAAGATGACCCGAATGGTGAGTTAAGCATGGAATTGAGCTAAGTAACACATTATGATATCATGGAATATTAGAAGGAGAAGGGAGACCAAAGTGAATCAAAGAGAATATTATTTCTACCATGCAGTCGCATGGTAGAAAGTCCATGCAGTCGCACAAGCATATACAGGAGATGAATAGTGAAAATTTTGTATAACCATGCTTTCGCATGGGTTAATACCTCGCATGGTTCATTCTTAGCGCGAATTTTCTGGTTGCCTTATTTGAATCAAACAGTTATGGTAACGCATTTAGGACGTCTTTATAACCCTAATCTAGTCCAAAAAGAGGGGCTACGCCTTCTTAGAGAGAAAAACGACCTTGAAGAGTAAGAACGAAGGCTAGGACGAAGAATTGCATTTCATGATCTAAGATTTCGAGTTTCATATTGAATAATTTGGTGATATCTTCTCCTAAATATTTTCTTTGCTATTTTATTTTATCCATACTAGGCTAGGTTTTTATTGTACTAGGTGAACGATGAATCTCGTAATGTGAATTTTTAATTCTTTGTTTTGCAATTTGATTTTAAACACGAATGATGAATGTTGAATAGTTTATATACACTTTATTTGTCTCCATAATTAAATGCATGTGCTTTTGTGAGTTTGGGTGGTCTATTTCTGGCATTCGAAAGAAGGGAAATAGATTCTACATGGTTAAATCATCGTAGGGTTCAATAGGGGATAAAAATATACTCCTATACTTTACGTGAATCTTTAAGTGTTCATAAAACGTTATGCGTTCTTATATATCGGCATTTGTCATAGAAATATGACTACTCAAATGGTATGCGAGAATATGTTTGACGGCATTCGAAAGAGAATGTTGAACATTTTAGGAACATTGATTCTTCAATCAATTTACCGTGCTATCAAATTGTGAAATAAAAGGTTAAAGTGAATTTACTTGGTGATTCGGNTCGGGATCCTAGTACGCTTTTCATACATATATTTCATCAAACATCTGCATTCAATTCGTTATCTTTGCATTTAGTTATTTACTTTCATTTAAACTTGCATTCCTAGTATAATTTAGATAATTTCATAGTTCGATCATCTCTTTGAATTTACTTAAGTTTCGGTTAAGGTCGAGATTGGTAACGTTTGAACTAATTCAATCTCTGTGGGAACGATACTTGGACTTCTAAACCCATTTTTATTACTTGAACGATCCATACACTTGCGGTAATCAAAGTCGAATACATTTTCGGCGTGTATTGTTCTTTATTGTCTCGTAATGCCACCTAAATCATGTGTGACTCAGTAGCATTTTAACTAATTTAAGAATGGTCAAACTTGTATTTGTTTGTCGATAAAAGTCAAATGTCAAAACGAGATTCTCTTTTTTGGTTTTGGTTACACAATTACTACACTTCTTAAATCCAGGGAAATGAAAAGAAAAGATCGACACAAATTTTGTAATTTGGTTTGAGAAAAGTGGAAAAACAAAATATTATATAAATCGTGATATTAAACAGCCAAAAAAAGGCTGTTGTATCTCTGCTAGTTTGCAATAAAGGAGAATGATCTTGAAGCTCAACTCTACATGCAGTTGACTAATCAATCTGCCAGCTCATTCACTCTCTTACATTCAATTTCATATCACAAATTTAACTGTTGTTCTTCTTTGGATGGCCACATTTTGCTTGGATAACTAGTGTTTTTGCAATATCTGGGCAAGAATCCTTGCTTGGATCATCAAGAAGTTGTCTCTCAATCGGAATTGTACACTCTTTCTTTCCCAAGCAATGCTGTTCAATTCAACACCACGTAACGGTTTAGTATTATTGTATGCATGGGTACACCACAACTAGAGAGTAAAATAAACATGATTTAAACAGTTTGATCTATTACCTGTTCAACAACTTTGAAGGCTTTGGGAGAATCACATTTTCCTTGGTAGAAGTATCCACAAGCACCATCAGGATCACCAAAACTTGCGAATTCTATGGCATTCATGACCTTGTCGTCAGGGCAACTTAGGTGTGATCCAGTCTTGACAGGATCGACTATTGCCCGAAATTTGTTGTCCTTCCTTTCCCAATTTTTTACATTGGGTGGATGATATTCGGTTATCACACTACAGATTGTGTCCCGATTAACTGTCTGTATCTCAATTTTATCTAGTTTTCCTCCGGTCTCCTCAAATATGACCAATAGATTGTTCTTCGGTTTCAAGAAGGCTCTTGGAATGTGATACCTGAAGATGCAAATCAAAAAAATGTGAAGGATACGTCCGGTACGCACTTTAGAACTAGATTGAACTCTACAATGCTATAAATAATATTTAACTTCTTTAATACTATTGAGTGCAGTACAATCGACCTTACCAAAGGAGCCAGAAGGTCATATTGTGTACTTACTCGGATTGAGTAGGCTTCCCAAGAGGGGAGAGGAAAGATGTCCAATAACGGCCAATGCTTTTACCATTGACCCAGATCATGCCCTTTGCCATACTATCCATATTGATGGCAACAGGGTCGTTACCTTCTGGGGCATCAAAATACGTCTGTGAAACAAATATAAGACAGTCGAGTTAAACATGGCAAATTATCATATTTTCGTGGAAATTATGCCATCTTTAGTACGTTTGTTCGCAGATAATGGCTTCTTGTGTCGATACCTTGTACCAAGTAACTGGTCCATCTGCTCCATTCGATGTAGTTGGACCCCAGTTAACTTTACGAGAGCCTTCTTCAGTGTACAATTGCATCTTTTCTCCTGCTACACCAACCTGCACATTGGAAGGGAATCCACTAATATCAAAGAAATGAAACACTTGAAGTTAATTGTTAATGTTTTGAGCAAAATACTTGATTTAGGCATATACCTGGTGTCCCCAGTTGTTCATGGTGATATCAAGAGTTCCAGACATCAAACCCTGGATCGTTATACCTCGGGGTCCAGCAAACCGCTTCTCCATGTAGGCTCCACTATTCTTCATTCGGAAAAAAATTCATATAAGCTATCTATATTGAACAATACTCTAAATATTGCGACTGGGCAAAGAGACTTACCGGAAATCCCACTGTCATGGCCAGGATTGAGATATGGTTAACTCCAGGTTTCAAACTCATGGGCTTCTGGAAGACAAAACTCTTTTCGATGTTGTTTCCATGTCCGAACCCTGAAAGTCACAACCACCTTAGCTAACTAAAAGGGAAATGCTACACATTCTGCTACAACTAGGAAAGTACAGTGTATAAATTACCTATGTAGATGCCATTGACAAATACAGCCAAAGCATGACCAAGACTGGCAATCTGGAGTACTGGGAGGATGTCAGGCCGCATTGGTAGGTCACGCCTATCGAAAGTGATGCTGTAACCATAAGAACAAAACAATGTGATGCTTATCAGCTTATGCGTTGTAAATATGTTTTATGTTCTACTAAGGACGGAGGTGGTCATAGGATATCCATACCTCGTGCTGTACCAAGCATAATCTGAGGTGTCTTTAGTAAAGCCGTATAGCTCAAGTGGTTCCTTGTTCTTTACGGGCAAATCGTTAATATTTGGAATGTTCTCTCGGAACATCTCCCACTGGTTGATTTTTCCTTCCTTTGAAGGAAGGAAGTTCCTTGAATTATGTTGTGAAACAACCTATTGTTCATATTGGATCAGAAGCCATTTTTGTACATCCTAGTTAACATTATTAGGACATGAGATTGTTAGTTTACCGTTTGAGTGTTGTAGACTACAGACTTGCAATCAGGGAGAATGCTGATGGATCTTTCTGGTAAGTAATAATCAATACCCCTGAAGTTAATGGTTGCAGGTACCTTTGTGTCGTTGTTGGTCAAGAACGCAGCGCAAATGTTACTTCCGGGCTTCTCAAAAGTTATAATCTACAAAGAAATGCAATTCATTTGTTGATTTAGCACTACACATATCCATCCTCGCTATGCATTCTACTAATTGCTATTTCTTTACCTCCAGGTCCTTGCTAATCTTTTGAACACTAGGAGTTCCCCAAAGCAAAGGCTTTTTGGATAATCTCAGAGCCCTGTGCAAGTCTCTCAAATGGCCCCATTTAGGTCCTCTCTCCAAGCCTGAAATATATAGATCAAGGTTAACCAAACGTTTGAACGATTTTACTTCCTTGAATCAATTGAGAATAAGCCGTAAAATTCCAAACCAAATTCATCGAGGGGAGCTTCATCATAGTAGCGCGTTGTCACAAAAGAAGAACTTGTTCTACCAAAATTGGTTCCACCATAATACTGATAGAATACAAAATTTTAGCATATTTAAGATTGTGAATCAAAATTCTTAGGAGATGATATCTACAATACCATGTAATAGTTGTTCATGGTACCGTTCCTTGCAAAGAAACGAGCAACAGAGAATGAAATATCTTCTGCTGAACGCTGGGACGGAGGGTCTCCAAATACTCTATATCTACAAGCATATTTCGTTTTCAAGTGCAAAATCGCCCGTTAGAACAAAATAGAAAATCATTAAGTCAATATGGCATAATCAAGGCATAAGGCTTGTACTTACTGAGCAGTCCAGTTCTCGGTCCACAAAGAAGGCTTGTCAGGGCCATTTGGACCAGGGAAAGTATCTCCACACTGTCTCCCATTGCACGTACTAATCTAGATTGAAAATTGATCTTGTTAGACACAATAGAATAACGTATTAGACTGAGAAAAATGGACGGGAAAAAATATCTAACCACACGGTCGGGCGCATCCTGCTGCTTGCACATGACCCATGGGATGCCATTGTATGTAGCGACGGCCATATCTGCTGCCCACTTAACGTATTTTTTCCCTTCTTCTCTATAGGCAAGCTGGACATTTTTGTACTCGTTTTCTATCTGTGCCATAATGATTGGACCTCCTTGATCTGCAAATAGTTTCTCCTTTTTCGCCATATCAATGATCCTCTCAGTGTATTGTTGCATATGGTGCTGCAGATGTGAACATTTTTATCAATTGGACAATGTAATGGAGTATAATTTTTGCTTCACGAAAAAAAGTCCGGTCTGTCATTCGATTATTTACCAAGAAAGGTTCGTTGTAAGAACGGAATGTGATGTTGGGAACCTCTCTTAGCCAGTATGGGAATCCTCTGTTCAGACAGACACGTTAGGATTAAGAACAAGGTCGTAAAATGAGTAAATTAAAGAATTTGAAAAAAAATTATTATCGAAATTTACCCCATATTCCATTCAGCCTCAATGTAGGGTCCGACCCTGAGATTAACCCACAAACCATGTTCCCCGATCATTTTAAGGAATTTTATGAGGTCATAGCTGCCTTCAAAATTGAACTGGAGAAAGAAACGTAAAGTTTTTCAATTAATAAAACATATGAACCAAAAGTCTAACAATTGATTCATTCATGGAAAAATATTGTCTACCTTGCCTTGAACAGGCTCATGAATGTTCCAAAAAACATAAGTCTGGATGAGGTTCAAACCACCTTTTTTGGCCTTTTCAAGGATGTCTGGCCACATCTGAAAATAATGCATATAACATAATTTAAACCTTCAACGTAAAATTTGTGTACGTGCTAGGTCTTTGATGAAATCCTGAATTCTTGCTTAAACTTTTGAAGGCGGGACTTCTGCTTTTGCTTAAAGCAGCTTCTTAATTACAAAAACAGTTTTTTGCTTTTCGAAAACCCTGTTAGACGCAAGCCGTAGATGAGGGGATTGAACAGAATCATTTAAGGGTACCTCGGGAGGGCTACGGGGATAATGGATTGAACCAGCAAAGATAAGTTCTCTACTTCCATTGATGATGAGTGATCGCCCATCATAGGTCACAACTCCTTCCTTCTTCTTCGCCTTCTCCTTCTTCCCATCAACAATCGTGCAGGCAACGAGCAAGCAAAGGAAAGCTACCCAAATAATTCTACATGGTGCAGCCATTTTTGGATTCGGAGTATAATATCGAAAGATTTTTCGTTGGGTGGATAAGGAAGAGCCAAAAGGAACCTCCTTCCTCTAATTGGATGAGGAGGAGGCACCTAGGAGCTGTCTTGAAGAATCCATGTAGAGTCTTTGTTATGGAGAGAGGGAGGGTAACACAACGCCTTGGAGGAAGTCCTGGAATATGTATGTATTTCTTATGTTGTTAAGACCATTTGTTTATGCTTCTCCTTGAAATTTTTTCTGTTTGATTGTCTATTTTTAGGATTTAGAACGAGTTTAGCGTTAAATAAAACATCAAACTAATCTAGGATGTCTGTACAGCCAGAAATTTTGAGTGAAATATTGTTTGATGGCTTCAAAATAAAAATAAAATAAAAATTGACCCAACGAAGTAACAAATTCTTTCGAATATGGGGGAAGGTTCAATTGACCAAGCCATTAGTTAATAATTATTTGGATTAAGCTTCTTTATCAGAAAAAAATGACATCTTTGTTAACAGATATTCAAATGGGAGTGGGATCCATGTGAATAAAAAAGCCAAAAAAATTGTTTCCCTCCCTCCTATAATCCTATTGTGAGTATGCTGTCAGAGAGGGTGTCAAACACAGCATAGCAACATTGTAATTATTTATATTGTTTTGGAATTTCGGGCACTGATTAATTAAAATGGTTGAGAAGGGCAGAGTTGGTAATCCTGGTTTCTTTTAATTTTCATGCTTAAAATTCAAGTTTAACTTATGATATTGTGAATTCCATTAATGTATATGAAACTTAAAATGGAAGTTATGAGCCAAGATGTATGGAGAACTTTTTATGTGCTAAATTGATTAACAATACAAATATATATTAGCTACGCACCAATAGATAAACCATGTGTTTGGAGACTATAATTTTAGTAGTCTTGAAGATGTTCACACGGTAGCTAGAGAGCTTCAGCTGGAAATAACTTAACATCGATATCAAACTCTCTATGATTCGAGAAGAGAAAGGGGGTCGGTATAATTTGTGGTCACTAGGTCGGTAGTGGAATAGAGGGGGATGATAGTCGAATTCACGTTAGGGTCACCAACACGAACGCAAACAAAAACTCGATCTTGAATTTTATATATATATATACACACACACACACACACTGAAAAAAAAAACACTCTGCATTCTATAAGAAAACAAACCTGAATGTTGCATATGTTAGAAACTAGAAAGGACCCTGTTTGATAAGGGTGAAATTCCATGGAAAATATTCCATTTTCCAACTTTTTAGGTGTTTGATATGCTTCATTTTCTTGGCAAAATGTTTTCTTAGCCTTGGGCTTACGTGCACCATTTCATGAGAATTGTNTTATTTTCTTCTTGTTTTGAAGGTTTTTGGTTTTCCAACTTTTTTAATTTTTTAATTTTTTTTTTTTTTTTTTTTTTGCAATTGAAACAAATGTTTTTTTTTTTTTTACTTTTTGACAACGGAAACAAATTTTATAACCAATTGTGAAAAAAATTATCACTTTAATGGGCAATTTCCATGTAAAACAAAGTCGAACGAACACAAAATTTAAAAAAATTTCGAGTGGAAAATTATACTAATCAAACACATTTAATTTACAATTCTCTGCAAAACAATTTCTAGGCAATTACTTTCCCTGTAATTCATTTTCTTTCCACCCATTTTCCACACTTACAATCAAACAGACTCTTAGATTTGCAGTCTCGAACCTTTGGTTACGTCAGTTGTCTCTTAAATATTTTGACATTTTGACACATTATTTTTTCTAACAATTAAAATTTAAAGACGGCGCGACTTATGGAAGCGAGGAATGGACATTGACCTCTTTTGGATGAAAAATATTAAGTCGTTTCGGCACACATTTATTGAAAGGTTTGAGATGTAGTTGCTACGATTTAAAGATTTGGAACTACATTCATTAAAGGTCCAGGACCTTCATTGCAAATTTTTCATGTTTTAGTTAATTACATGTTAATAGACCATTTTTTTCCTTCTAAAATTGGTCAAGTTAAAGTCAAATGTTAGACTTTTGGTCGATTGATAGATTTTTATATAAAAATCGTTAGAGATCCTTCCGAGTTCCGACGCACATTTATTGAAAGTTTTGAAACTATGTTGTATATTTTTAAAAGATTTGGAGCTTCCGCTGCAAATTTTCGTTGATTTAATGCCATGAAAATCAGTAAATTGCAAAAAGAAAAAAAATCATGAGCTAAGAAAAACATTCCTCCAGGATATTCCCAACTACATTGTTTACCCATTAAATGGCAAAATACGTTAGTACATGTGTGAGAATTATTTTTCAAAATAATTTTTCTGTCCATCCATTTTCAATCACATATTCTAAAAATTCGTTTTTTACTTTTTCTGTAACTTTTTTTTGACCTTTTATCCATACATCCTTAAAAAAAATATCAATTTGAAGAAATTCTCTTCCACACATGCACTTTGTCATGCTCTATATATTCCTTAAAATAAAGAAGATATAACACATTGAATATGATTTGAGCATGAAAAATATATGAGACTATTAGTGATGAACAACTCTCGTATTAAACCATACTTGAATTGAATTGAGCGACTCTTTTTAAGTTAAATATCAAAATGGGTATCAGATCGAGAACAACAGTGTTCGGTTCGGTTCTGAATTTTAGATCAAGAAATGAAAAATCGAATAAGAATCGAATCTCTTTAATTTTTTTAATTTAAAAAATAAGCTAAATTATTTTTATTTTTTCTAATAAATTTTTCAATTAATTAATTGAGCCCAAAAATATCATTTTCTTGTTTCATTTGCCAATTAATTAATTGAGGCTAAAATATCATTTTTCTATTTTCAGCCCAAACTCAACTTTGTAATTCAAATTTCAAATAATCAACATTGAGTGATCTAATTTTTTTCTCAATCATGCTGCAGTTTTTCAAATAATTGAACCTAAGCAACTGCGCCTCTCTTCATCTTACATTTTTCTGCCATATCCATTGAATTTCCTTAAGCTTCATCTCCTTCCTTTCTAATAATTTCTCACGCTCAATGTATAAATATTATTCAAAAATGTTTATTGTGTTCTTTGTTTTTACCCTTTGTTTGACTTAATATTCTCCCATTTCTTTTAATATGCCTTCCATATTGACCATGTCATTAGTTAGATTAATGTAGTATTGTAGTAAATGTTAAAAATAATAATTATTATTATGGTACGAAATGAAACGAAACTATCCATTGCCATGTTCGATATTATTCAAATCAACCTCGCCATTTTGAGAGAAAAGTGTTTGGACCCATATATGTATGATTTTTTTCTCAAAGCATTTTGAATAATTGCCTTTCCTTTTTCTCCATATTACAATTGAGTTATAAGGTTGGAGAATCTAAATCAAATATACATCCAATAGGTAAAAACAAAAGAGGTCTGGTACTAGACAATGGTGTCCAACCAAAGTTTCCACTCACCAACCTTTTAGTGCTTGTTTGAGATATTTTCAAAAGCTAATAAAAAACTGAGGTCAAAAACAATAATCAATTTCAATTACATATTTTGGAAATCGACAACGTTTATCAACTTTTCAAAATCTGCTGTAAATTTATCGAAAGCTTTGGCTAATATCCTCTCATTCTAAACCCTTAAAAAACTTTCAAAATGCAAGTGTCATCAATCATGAGCGGAGATAGGGGTGGGCTGTAGGCTACCCTTGCCAGCCCCAGCCCAAGCCAAATTCTACTAGAAAAAAAAAAAAAAAAATTTATAGCACTTTTTTTTTCTGTCCAATCCAGTAGCCCACTGTCTAACTCACTAGCTCCCCGTCTCATTGAATCCTAGCTCCGCCCATGTCATCAATCACATCTTTTCATAATAATTTTCAAAAAAGATTACAAGTAGGCATAAAAATTATATAGAGAGAACTCCAATCTTTTACATTCCAATTATAGAATCCAAATAAAGATGTCACGCTCCTCAGCAAATGATTCTAATTTGGAAACAATCCACAAACTAAGAAAATAAAAATACAATACATAGAGTGATAGAGATGTAGTAGTTAAGAATCTCACATAACCACACAGGCAGCAGGATTTTCGTCACTAAAAGCAGTGGTGTAACGAACTTCAGTCGAGCTCGCGCGTCCAAGATGCGCGAGTTGAGCATCCTCGTTATATCGCACGTACCCGGCAGGGGCCCTCTTATCGTAGACACCGCGTGCATAAGGATGTGCGATCTCATCGTATGGGACATAGGGCCAAATTTCTGCCCTCTTCCCGGTCCGATGAATCACTCGAGACAAAACCTTTTCGGGCTCGACATAACCAGTTACTGTAAGCTTGTGTTTCTTAGGTTCAATCTCTACTGAGCTAACCCCTCTCATTCCTTCAACAGACCTTCTTACCTTCCTCTCGCATCCTTCACAATCTATTTTCACTTTTATCTCCACTGTCTGCACCCCACCAAAATTAATTAAAAACAAGAGAAATTAATTATTAAATCACATCTGCAGTAATTTATTGGTTTTAAATTCTTTCCATCCTTTCAAATTATCATTCTACATAGGAGAATTCGTCGATTGAGCAATTTTGACAAAATTATACGACAAGACCTAGAAATGTTACAGATTTGGACTCAGATCTTCTTATATTTGACCAAATCAAGCAAAATAAATTACCAATTAATCAAGCACTGAAAAACAGCTTCTTCTCAAGCTTCAGTAACAAACTATACAGCTTAAAAGTTATTTATCTCCTGCTCATTTGGCCAAACCTACTGAAATAAGCCGAAAAAACTAACTTTTAAGCGCTGCTCATGGATATATACACATTTACAATCATTATACAGCAAAGAGAGAGAGAGAGAGAGAGAGAGAGAACAAACCTGCAATTGTTTGCTTTTTTTGAACTTGGACCTGGCGGAGCTGTTAGCAGAGGAGCAATCAAACATGTTGGAGAAATGATCCAAGACGCCCATTTTCTTCTTTCTCCTTCACTGATAATTAATTTTTCTACTTCTGCAAATTAATTAGACAGATTGGCTTGTTTTATTTTGCAGGAGGAGGAGTAAGAGTAGGAGCAGGAGTAAGAAGGAGTGTTCTTTCTCTTCACCCTAACAACTGAAAATGATGGAGCCTTGTTTGTTCTTTGTAAGGCTCGACAGCCCATGGCCTTTATAACGTTACCCCAGTTTCTAGATTTAAAACGGACCGTTGGATACTGCCGGGCTAGATTAATCCTGTACGGACACGTGGCTTTCAATTATTGGTAGTTTACGCTTTGATATTTATGATCCGAAATATCCCGCTAGTTGGCGCTCTACGTGACAAAAGAGTGGGATCCGTGTTGGACCCATTCTCTTTAGGAAAATTAGGCGGTGTAATATTCCGTCTTTTTTGACATTTTTTAAAGAGTTAAAACTAATCAGACTTGATCTCCTATTCTCGATGAGTACGATAAAACTGACGTGACAAGAAAATCTTACTTATAATTCTTTAATTAAATGGGTTTGATTTTCTACTCAGTGGACAGAATAAAAAGTTTTCAAAGGAGATTAATTACAATCTCTAGTTTGAATTGTGACAGTGAAATAATTAATGATCAATAAAATTTTTCATATGTGATCGGGAAATAATCTGTGACTGTGTAATTCGATAATTTGTGACAAAATAATATAGAATTGTGATCTTAATATATTTAATTAATTATTTCATAAATAAAATTTAATTAATATATGATTTTTGAAATTTTAAACCTTCCTTCTTAATTTTGAAATGGATCAAATTTAATCTCTTAGATATGAAATTTTTCCCCATGTAAAGCCTCTTCTATTGTGGTATCTAGTTATGTTTGTGTTCAAGAGAATTGAGGTGTAAATTTAGTAGAAAAATGACTATGTATAACTACTCAAAAATTTTGTGAGGATGGCCTCACTATTTATGATGGAGAATTATTTACTTAAGGTAGACTCTCAAACTAGTGGAGCACATTCGTTTGGTGGTATAGCTCAAGACAAACGAGATATTTACCCATTTTTCTTGTTCACATAGCTTTTATATCTCGATTATTACTCCATGTAATTTTGTGATTTATTATTTTTTTTTTCCCCTCTTCACATAGTCGACATGCCTACCTTTTCTTTTGCTTTTATATCTCGGTTATTACTCCATTTTTTTGTGGTTTATTTATTTTTTTTCTCCTCTTCACATAGTCGACATGCCTACCTCTTTTGTTGTGAGTTCGGATAGAACAGACCTATATGTTATTTATATTAAGTAATTTGACAACAAAAATAATTTATATCAGCCAAACAAAATGAAATTGTTAAATTACATTGCTTAGGAGCTTTAGAGCCAATTTGATGAAGTTTTTGAAAAGTAAATAGTTGTTTCTAGAGATGGCAATTTTCCCCGGGGCAGGGCAAAAAAACCCGCCCCGAACAGGTTGGCGAGGCGACAGGTTTGCCGCCCCGTCGCAAGTCGCGGGGCGGGGCGAGGAGGAGATGCCCTGCCCCAAACCCGCCTCGTGAAGAATTTAAAACAAAAAAATTTGTTTTGGGCATTATTTGTTTTGAACATTTTTTTGTTTCAAGTGTTTGTTTTGAATATTGATATAATTAGTTTGAACCTTATTTGTTTTGGATTTTAAAATTTAAAATTTGTATTTTAACTAAAAAAAAAAAAAAACTAAAAAATGGGGCAGGAA